GTCTCCGAGCGGGGAAGTAGCGATTCCGCTTCACGCCTGCAAGCGCTAATGCACAGGATTACACCTCCGCCTCACCTTCATCACTTATTAACCATAAAAAGGCCCCACCTGCCCCGCCACGTAACAGTGAACCCGTTCAGGCGTGATCACTGCATGTAAAAAATAACATGTTCGTTTACGGGATATTTCCTTCGTTCATGTAGATCACGAGAAAAATAGGTGGATTGAATGGCCATTAGAGACATGAAAGACGCGGTGCTTGCCGCGCGCTTGCATATAAATGACGTCGCTGCACAGCCGGCGCGTCGCGCGGAGCGACAAGGTGACGAGAAGCGTGGCACCTCTGAATCCCGATTGGATAAATTTGCGGCGAAAGTCCGTCCGGAGCCCGCGGTTAAACCAATCAAAGATCGCCGCCGCGCACGCCTGACGACAGCCGAGATTTCAGTGCCGCGCCGCCAAACAAACATGAACGCATTGCGGTTTGGATTGCGCGGCTTGGACATTCTTCTTGTCTGCGCCATCATCGCCGTCGGGATCTGGAACGGATATATCGGCGTCAATGATCGCGGCGTTGCAGCGCCTGTCGCAGCCTCAGTGCTGGGGTCTGTCATCTTTATCGCAGCCCTATTCATTTCCAATGCTTACCGCTTCAACGCCGCCACGACATGGTCGGCTCACCTTAAGACCGTGATGATCGCGAGTTTTGCCGCTGCGGGCGTGTGGTTGACGATCGCTTTGATCGTGCGGCCAGACACCTTCCTGCCCGATGCGTTGGCAAAGGCCGGATTAGGCGCAATCGCTTTACTGGCTATTCTGCATAGCATTTATCACAATCAGATCCGCCGCCTTCATACACGCGGAGCTCTCTCCCCGACGATTGTTATGCTTGGAGCCACTGAAAGTGCGCGTCGCATCATCGAGGAAAATGCAAAAACAAAAGAACTCAACATCCTCGCCATCTTTGATGACCGTCTGGCCCGTGCACCGCACAACATACACGGCGTGCCCGTCATTGGCTCTGTGGAGGATCTGCTGAATTGGGACGCCTTGCCCTATATCAACCGGATCGTTGTAACCCTTCCGGCGATGGCGAATAAACGCAAACAGGATTTTGTTGACCGCGTTCGTTTGTTGCCAAACCGCATCGCCTTTGTTGTTGATGAATTTGAAAACTTAAACCATGTGCAGCAACGTGTGTCTGAAATTGCAGAAATCAGCCTGCGCGATGTCACCGGCAATCCGAAATCCGGCCGCCATACGGCGCTAAAGCGTCTGCTGGACATCGGGATTTCGGCGACAGCTCTTGTCCTTGGCGCACCTGTCCTCGGACTGATTGCCCTTATCATCCGTTTAGACAGTCCGGGTCCGGCCTTATTCAAACAACCTCGTCACGGGTTCAATAACCGTGTGTTTAACGTCTATAAATTCCGCTCTATGCGCAATGATCGCGCTGATTTGAAAGCCGAACAACAGACAGTTGTGGGCGACGCCCGCGTCACAAAAATCGGAAGAATTATCCGCAAAACCTCGCTGGATGAGTTACCGCAACTTATCAATGTTCTGAAGGGTGAGATGTCGCTCGTTGGGCCGCGTCCGCACGCCGTCGGGATGAAAACCGAAGGCAAGGAAAGCATGGAACTCGTCAGCGAATATGCGCATCGACATAAGGTCAAACCCGGCATGACCGGCTGGGCGCAAATTAACGGATCTCGCGGTCCTTTACACTCCGGGTCTGACGTCGCTGAACGCGTGCGTCTCGACGTGGAATATATCGAACGCTCTAATGTGATGTGGGATATCTATATCATGCTCAAGACGTTGCCTGTTCTTTTGGGCGACCGGACGAACGCCCGTTAATTCCCATGTTCGGCAAGTCCATCCTGTCATATCTCCCGGTTAATCTGGCCAATGTCGTAACCGCTTTCGGTACGATTGCGGTTTTGACGCGTCTACTGGAGCCTGCCGAGTTCGGGATCTACGCCATTGCGATGATCACCATGCAATTCGTACATATGGGGCTCTTCACATGGATGGAAGCGGCCATGGCGCGGTTTCAGGCGCGTGCAGACAGGGAAAATGATATTCCGTCGCATTTGAAGACGTTATATAGGATCGCATTTCTGACGGGTATGAGTGGCTTTGCGCTGATTATGGCTGTTTTAGCGGTACTTCCGATAAACCCCACCCTCACCTATGTGTTGATATTTGCTTTAGGGTCGACCTGCCTACAGGTTATTTTCAATTTAGGTATGGAAGCGCATCGCGCCTCCCACCGGATCAAGCGGTACTCTATCGCTTATTCGACCAAGACGTTGATCAGTTTCACCTTGGGTATTTTGTTCATTTTATTCACGCCGCTGCAAGCTTCTGCTCCTTTTGCCGGGATAATCTGCGGCCTGATCATTGTCGGCGGGATTGATTTCATATTTATGTGGAGGCTCACGAAGGGAGGCAAATATCAACCCGAAAAGGTCAAAACATATTTCATTTATGGCGCGCCGCTTTGTATCGGCTTGCTTCTGTCTTATGCGTTAAATTCGGCAGATGTATATTTGATCGCGGCCATGATGGGGGAAGCCTCTGCCGGTGAATATAATGCAGGTTATAACCTTGCGAACCGAAGCCTGGAAATTCTATTCGTTTGGGTCTCGATGGCTGTCACCCCCGTTGCTGTGACAGCGATGGAGAAACACGGAATAGCTGAGTCCCGCGAAATTCTGAAAAACTACGGTGCGGCGCTGCTATGGATTGCGGTCCCTGCCGCCACCGGGATAGCATTGGTTGCAAAAGACGCTGGGTTTATTCTTGGCGCGGGCGTTCGCGAAAATGCCGTCACGGTCATGCCGTGGATTGCTTTTGCGGGTCTGATTAACGGCCTCATGACCTACTACGTACACCGCGGCTTTATGCTGTCCGGACAGACACAGAAGTTTGTTTGGGCGCTCATCGCACCGGTCTTTCTAAATCTTGGACTCAATCTTATCCTCATTCCAAAATTTGGTTTGATGGGCGCCGTCTGGGCGACAATCCTGAGCTATAGCCTAGCGATTGTTCTCGCGATCATTTTAGCCCGCCGTGATTATCCTTTGCCGATTCCGTTCCGTGCCGCGTTTGAAATCGCAGGCTGTAGCGCCGTCATGGCGGCCGCCGTCTTGGTTCTTCCGTTAGGCGGAATGTCTCCCGGGTTCATCACGCTTATGATCAAAGGGTCCGTTGGCATCTCAATTTATCTCGCAGCATGTTGGATAGTGAATGCCGCCGATTGTCAAAACGTCATTCGCGGCCTGTTGGTTCGCTCAACATCGACCGCTATCCCGGAACCTGCGGAATGAGTATTTCCGTCCATAAGAGTCCATCATTTGACAAAACAGCACCGCGTTTGACTGTCCTGATTCCCTTTTTCAGGGATGATGCGGGAGATTTACTGCGGGATCTGGATTTGCAAATAGGCAAGCAGCCAATTGAGGTTCTTATTTACGATGACGGCACGGACAATGCTGAGTTG